GGACCTAAATATTAAAGTTAGTTTAGAATCAGGGGACCTAAATATTAAAGTTAGTGCTTTAGAATTAGGAGACCTAAATATCAAAGTTAGTGCTTTAGAATTAGGGGACCTAAATATTAAAGTTAGTGCTTTAGAATTAGGGGACCTAAATATCTGAGTTAGTGCTTTAGAATTAACTTTTGCTAAAACTTTCAGTGCATTAGTGCTTTAGAATTAGGGGACCTAAATATTTAAGTTAGTTCTTTAGAATTAGAGGACCTAAATTTTAAAGTTAGTGCTTTAGAATCAGGGGACCTAAATATTTAAGTTAGTGCTTTAGAATTAACTTTTGCTAAAATTTTCAGTGCATTAGTGCTTAAGAATTAGGGGACCTAAATATTTGAGTTGAAGTTTTAGTGCTAGTGGAACTCATTTTTAGATTAGTCCTGCCCTCACAAACCAAGGTTTGGCTGAAATAAATAAAAGTGGGTCCTTTTGTTTTTGCTAAGTTCAATTAGCCGCGGCCGCCTTGTTGAAACCACCTTCCCAGGTTGAGAGAGAGAAACACAGGAAACATCCTGATGATGATGATGATGATGATGGTGGTGGTGGTGGTGGTGGTGGTGCTAGTGAGGACACAACAAAACAACTCTGCTGCTCCTCAGAGCTGAGTTTGTTCACACGACAAGAAGGATGACTACCTGCAACCCTGGCCTGCACACATGCCTAAAGATTCAACCAAACAAGTTGTGACCAAGATGGGGAAACCAAACCCAAACGAGTTGAGCTCGTCTGGCCGGTCTGTCAGAGGGGCGAGTCAGCAGCACATCTAGTACCTTCATAATGACACACACACACTCACACACACACACACACACAAAAGCCCACTGGTTTGACAGCAACTCCCCACCCATGATGCAGGCAGACAAGCCTAACATTACATCCCCATTGTAACACGTGGATTAAAATAAAACACTGGGTGCGCCGCGGGGAGGAGGAGGAGGATGATAATGATGTTTAACAGACCACTGAAGGGAGATCATTTAGAGGCTAAATCCAGTAGATCCTGACCTGACTGCCCTCGCGCGCACGTGCAGGCAGGTGATGTGCGCGCTCGTGCGTGAGAGAGCGAGCGCGCAGGTAGGGTTTTGGATGTCAGCCGGTGTTCTCGGCTATAATTAGCAGCCCATGTCTTGAAAAGTGGACCCGGCGACCCCGCTCACCTGACGCACAAACAAGCACCGCCCGCGCCACCTCAAATCAACCCAAACACCGCCCCTGTGGGTTAATTTCACGGGATTAAAGGTAAAAGCGGACTGAACATGTCGACACCAGTAACCGAATATAGTGACGTGGAAAGTCCTCGCGTGACCCTAAACGAGGAGGAGGGAAGGAGTTATCCCGACACATTTATCTTAAAGTCTTTTTAAAATGTTTTTGAAGAAGAAGCAGGTGATACTGAGTTACCTGAGTGCCGGTGTGTCACCTGTCCCGGTTCGTCGCCTCCCACCCGACCAGCCTCCACACTTCCTGGATTACTCAGTCCCACCCTGCCGACTTCTTTAAATGTCTGTTTGATCCTGTCGGGCGCGCGCCTCCTGCTCCAGCCGAGAGGTGAGGGGGTCGTTCTCAGGTATGGGGGGTGTTATTTGAACAAATGGTTCTCCTGCGGTTCTGTCTCTGTCTCTGGGCTGCTCTGACCCCCCGCGTACCTTCAGCCTCAGCTCGCCCACTCCGGCTCCCGGCTCCTCCTTTCTGAGAACCAGGAAGCGGCTTGTCCTACTTACCGCCGCGCGCGGATTGGCGCTGCCGGAGGTGGGAGACCGCCGGTGGAGGGGAGGGGGGGGCAGGGCACAAGGGAGGATGGACGGGGTCCGACCGCGGTCCTATAGGCTGGCAGCGGTGCCAGTCGGAGGCGGGAGGGTTGGGAGGAGAGAGGGGGGAGGACTGTGGCCATCCTCCTCCTCCTCCTCCCTCCATGAGGGCATCACTGCAGAGGTGGGCAGACAGCGGATTACCTGTCAGGTGCAGACCCATTTTCAAACCTAATTTAAAGTACCTGTGACGTCATGTTTTTGTAACAAATATGAACACATTTTTTGAGAAGATAACATTAATAACATGTTGCTAAACTAATTTCATGCTGCTGAGATGAACAATTGTTGAGATATTTGCATGTGAAGAAACAGGAAGTGACGTCAAAGGGGAATGTCTGCTTGTAAACAGACTGTAGAGAAGAATCTGATGTTTCTTTAGATTATTTTGAGTCACCATCAGCGATATGAAGAACAGTTAAAGTTTAAATATTGTTTTAATAAAGTCAGTTGTCTTTCTTAACCTCTTAAGCTCCAAGTTTTTCTTTTATCTTTTTCAAAATCCCATGCTGAAATGTTACTGAGTGTGTCTCAGCATTTACAAACTCTACTTAAATAATCTTGGTATCAAAATAAAACTAACACTTGGTAGATTTGATCAAAAGTATAAGTATTTAAACAGCTGCTGTGGTTTTAAAGATATTGGGGATGGAGAATAATATTTTTTTCACTCTCATCTGAATAATTTTTTCATTAGACAGTATATAACCTATTTAAAACCATAAGGAATCAGGTAAAAACTCTTGGAAACCATAAATCCACTTGTGGACATCACCTGTACAAAGATTCATGCTGCTAAAATGAACTGGAGCAAAGTTACAGAGGTTTTAGTAAAGAAATAATTTAGTGTTTTGTCATTCTGCACAGGACAGACCATGATGGTTCCATTAATAAATGTTAACAAATCTGAAGATTTTACTTCCAAAAGTTATTTATTTTATCTTACCTGTCTTAAAAGACTTGTTATTGAATGTTTGTTCTTTTGAAAAATTATTCAAACATTTATTTTGTCTCCATATATGAAATAATGAGAACTCATATTTGACTTCAGTTGGATCATATTCACTCAAAATCAACTAAAAAAACTTTAAACGCATTTTATAACATATTTAGGTATCTACTTTGACTTGCTTTAAAAATAATGTCAAAATGTTTCCTTTACAGTTTTGTTGTATTTACAGATTTGCAACAATCCCATTTTGCCCCTTTTCCACTAGCGCCAAGTGTAGTGTCGATATGGTTCCAAGCCATTTCCATTAGGTCAGATTCATGGAACCGGCCCTTTTTTTTAGTACCTACTTCGTTGTGGTTCCAAGTGGTCCCAGTCGACACCAAAATGCGACATCAGAACACTGTTCGTCACTGATTGGCCAGGGGGTGGAGTCACTGGTCTAAGCTGCCTTTACAAGAACAACTCAAGGAGCCATTTTTTCAATTGTAGCAGTGACTTTAGTTGTGTTTCCATCAATTTTAATTTGAATTTTTAGCAAACTTTTAAAATTTCAGAACTTATTCTGCAAATGTGTTTCCATTTCTCTTTAACTTTTTTTAAACCCCAAAACCGCCTCCACCAATTACCCAAAACTGGAACCGTATTGGAACGTCAATGGAAAAGCACCTGAACTGACCTGTTCCGACACTACACTATGTAGCACTAGTGGAAGAGGGTCATTTGTTCACTTTCTGATTCAACTGCTTGATGTTTGAACTGTGTTTGGTGAATGTAAAAATAATTTCCATGTGTTTTTAGCCAAGAATCTTAGCTTTCTATTGATACCAAACATGTCCAGGTTCAACTGACAGATCTGAAGTTAAAAGAAATAGAAAATGGAAAAAGCTGATGGCGCTCAAGAGGTTAAAGAGTTCCCCTTTGATGTCACTTCCTGTTTCATTTTAGCTGAGCCAAGTTCAAACAGAAAATGTGCAATTTATGTGACAAAATGAGTCAAATCATGTGTATTATGCAAAGTTTCTTAAATAAAAAGTTGTTTTCTTTGCCTTTCTGTGCTTGAAGGATGTACACGTCCCCATTCCATCTCTTACCCCTTCTCCTCGTGACGCAGCAGGATCCCACCCAGTCCGGTGGAGGTGACCCAAAACGATGGAGAAGTGGAGCCAGCAGAGCTCCGAGTAAAGCTGCAGCTCCGGAGCTTCGTTTGAGTTAAACAGAAACAAAACATGATAAATGAAACTCATAGAGAGGATGTATCGCATCCACTGTGGCGGCGACATAAAGGGCAACAGAAGGGACTTTTTAAAAGTGACTTTTTGTGAATCACTTAAGAAAAGAGGCAGTTTTTTTTTTTTTTTTTTTTTTTTGCATGGGTTGCAACTGCAGCTCTCTCACTGAAAGAGAGAAATAAACCTGTTTTATGTGACTGAACAGAAGCCTGGTTTCTTTTCATTTCTCTGCCGAAAAAGGCAAGAAAGAAAGAAAAAAAACTTTGAAGAATTGACAGGCCTCTGTGTTTTGAAGTGGTTATGGGAATCACCTCGCACTCTCACAGCTTGAATATCATCCCCGCCTGTTGTAGCTGCAGCTCCTGGAGTGTGTGTACGTGGTGGGTTTTTGTAGTGAGGGAGCAGGAAGTCTATTTATAATTTGTGGCGAGCTCAAACAGCCCACCTATACCCCCTACACACACTCCCCCTCAAACCTAAAATCTCTGCTTGTTCTGCGGTTGTGCTACCAGAATAAGAATTTAAACCCTGCATGCGCAACAAATGCGTCATAAATGCACTTTTTCTTCCCTTTTTTTTCCAGCTTATGTGTTAAAATGATGGTTCCCAACTTCAGGGTCGGGGCTCGGAAAAAGGCAGCAAGAGATCATCAGAGAGGTCGTGCACAACATGACAAAAAACATGACAAAAAACATGACAAAAAACATGACAAAAAACATGACAAAAAACAGAAAACAGTGTTGTATAAAGTACCCCAAAGTGATACTTGAGTAAAAGTGCAAGTATCTTATCATAAAAGTACTTTGGTAAAAGTTAAAGTCTTCTCTAAGAATATTATTTGAGTATTTTTTGTACTTAAGTATCAAAAGTAAATTTCTGACACAAAATCTACTTAAGTATTAAAAGTAAAAGTACTGAGTAAAAGTGAGCAGTTAGATTTTCCAAAATAACATTTATTGGGAGGTGACTTCTCCAAAAAATATATTTTCTAACAGCGTGCAGCTGTGATGGGTTGTGTACAAGCTAATAGAGTGTCTGAATGATATACAGTATATTTATACTTCTCATCCAACCACAATTAAATTCACTCTATCCAGGAGACAATTTATCAGGATAGTATTTTTTAAGTAATAACTCAGAATAAAACAGGAGAAACAACCTTCTACTGCTTACCTTTTTTAAAATGTACCGAGTAGAAAGTACAGATAATTGTGTAAAAATGTAATGAGTAAAAGTAAAAAGTATGCTGAAAAATAATTACTCAAGTAAAGTACAGATAACCAAAATTTCTACTTAAGTACAGTAACAAAGTATTTGTACTTAGTTACTGTACTTTAGAACTCTGCTG